AACTAGGGACCTTGCAAAACTGGCGGCCTCATCTCTCAGCGCGTGGATAGCAATTAGGACTTGTTGATCTGGGTAGACCTGTTGCAAGTGCACATAGGTCTTAACGTTGGTCTCCCAATTGTCAAAGTTTTCCTCCCTCTTCCCRCTGTAGGAATCGGGGAACTTGACTTTGACAGGCTCCCGGCGAGGAGGACGTGCTTCCTCCTCCTTGGGAGCTACCGCCTTGACGCCTTCAATGGCGCCAGCACAAAACCGCTCAGTCTTGTCGAGGCGGTGACCCACCTCGGCTCCAACGGCGCCTACCAGCTCACGAGCAAAGTCTCGAAAGCCCAACCGTATCGAACGCACAACTATGTCCTGACTTCTGCTAAAGTCATATTGGTCTGCCTGAACCTGTGCCAGGCATGCGACGCTCCGAGCTATGACTCGCATCTGACTCGGGAGATCGGGCTGGGCGGCTAATTGCGCCTCTATCTTCTTCACTTCCTCTAAGGCCTCTTCCGCCTCCGCTGCCTTGTCAATTCTCCTCTTCTTCTCCCTCATCACCGCTAATTTCCATTCCATCCTCTTCTCGTCTTCCAACGCTTGACGTTTAAGAGGGTCTTTCTCTGCATCCCAAGCCTTCATGGCAGCTTCTTGCTGATCCTGCGGGATATACATACTAACCTCTTCCTTTTCTCCCACAGTCAGGTTGGCAACCCATTCATATATCCTCTTCTCCAGGTCTCCACCGGTACTACTACTGGGTTGCCCACTACTCCTTTGCAGTGGCGGGCCGTCCTCTTCTTCAACCACCGTCTTCAGTTTCTCTTCTTCTTCCTTCTTTAACCTCTCTTTCTCCCTGGCAATCTCTTCTTCCATCTTCTTCAATTTGCCCGCCTGCTCCTCCTTCAAGGCCTTCTTCTTGGCCTCCTTCTTCTCCTTTCTCTCCTGCAGGATGGCGGCCATCTTCGCCTCCTCCTCCTTTGTGTTCGGCATAGTGGAGGTGCCGAGCCGGGTGTCTACCATGGTGGTGTCAGGTGCACGACAGAGGTCCCACTCCTCACCACTTGGACCTACCCGGACACAAACCTACTGACCGACTTCCTAAGGACCACATGGTAAGACCCTGTCAACTATGGTCACTAACCCAAGACTTATTCTAAGGCTGTCACTACTGAACCAAAAGCTGATCTGGAGGCATTTAAGGAGATCCCCCGTAACTCCTCAAGAATTCTTTAACGTCGCAGACAGGACGACGTGATCAGCTTGGTTCTTCCTGGCGATTTCAGCCCACAACTCAGCCGTTCCAGCCTACTGTGCCACACCGAGCAGCCCGCCGGTCTGTACCGGTCCTTAGAGGGGTTCGCATCCCTCGGGACAGTCGAGTCGTCAGACACAGATCATCAGCTGTAATAGGTCCGGTAGGGGAGTGGCTCAACCAGGCCTCAACACTTAAAGACGGCCCTCGTTTCAACCTACAGCCCGGAGTTCAGACCCTCTACACTGAACTTAGTAGACCTGCCGGACAGTACCGGTCATTGGGCTAGACGAGTTGTTTAACGAGCGCTCGCCGCTCATGCCCAGGTCTCCAAGTGCCAGAGTAGAGCTTTGGTCCTACTAAGCCCGTGTAGGTTTGGCAGCAAGGCCCTATCCCTAGCACCTAAGACAGAAGAGACTCAATGCAGAAAGAGTAGACAGACAACTCAGCAAGTACCGTGGGTAAGTGCACATCCACAGAGTAAGGGGATAGGCTGAGGGGTCAACGAGATATCACCAACTCCAGCTTGGTCAAAATCTTGGTCAGCAGCCCCGGTCAACGCCTTGGTCAACGCCGAGTCAACGTGGGTAACCCCCAGTCAACACTTGGTCAACACCCTCGGTCAACGCCTGGTCAACCCTTGGTCAACCCTCTGGTCAACGCTCCGGTCAACGCCCGGTCAACCCTTCACCTCGGCTA